GACCTAGAGAAGTTGTGGGAAGGAGCCCACTTGCCCTTTTGGAGTGGGTGTTTGGAGCATGCTCACAGAATTGACAAAGTACCCTGTCCTCAGAGATAACACCCTGTGAGGGTACGTCATGACTGTGACCCCTGTGTCTACACAGTCAGCCTGGGCCTGGACTCGAGTTCTATTCTGGGCCACACATGTTAGAGCCCTTGGCCCGCTACAGCATAACCAGGCCCTAGAAACCCCAGTGTCTACTGAATGGTCCAAAGAACGATGAAAGGGAGGGGTCATGACTCCCACATTCTTTCAATAATTATTATTACGTACTGGGTAGTGGGCAGGGTTCTAGACACTTGGGCTACCTTGGCAAATAAAACAAAGATCGCTGCCCTCAGGAAGCTTACTTTCTAATGAAAGGAAAAAGACAACACACTTCACAAATAAAGTACTTAGTGTGTTAGAAGATGAGCAGTGCTCTGGGAATAAAGGAGAAAGCAGTGTAGACTAAGAGAGTTCGTAAGCGCTGGGGATGGGCAGGGACAGGACGCGGGGCAGAGGGACTGGCCTCATTGAGATCATCGGGGAAGGGAGTGAGGGAGGCAGTTGGACAGAGATCTGAGGGACAGGCCACCGGCACGGGTCCCTAGCAAAGGCCCTAAGGCGGGTAGGGGCCTGGCATGTTAGGAACAGCACCACCAGCCCAGAGCCGAGGGAGGGGGAGGAGAGGAGAGTAATGGGGAAGACATAGCAGGTGTCGAAAGGGTCTGACTTTCATCTGGGAGATGGGAGACATTGCAGGGAAGTGAGGGGATCTGACCCACATCCCATCCACTATGTGAAGAACAGACCTGTTAGGAGGTGTGATGGTTAATCTTATATGTCAGTTTTACTGAGCTGAGAGATGCCTACCTAGATAGCTGGTAAAACGTTATTCCTGGGTGTGTCTATGAGGGTGTTTCTGCAAGAGAGTAGATCTGAATTGGTGGACTGAATCAAGAAGATTCCCCTTCCCAATGTGGGCAGGCATTGTCCAATCTACGGAGGGCCCTGAGAGAACAAAAAGGCAGGGAAGGGCAAGTTTTTTCTCTCTCTTCTTGATCTGGGTCATCCATCTGCTCTTGCTCTTGGACCTCTGAGCTGCTAGTTCTCAGGCCTTCAGACTCCAGGACTTATACCAGGGGCCCTTTTCCCTACTTTTCAGGCCTTCGGCCTTGGGCTGAATTACACTACTAGGCTTTCCTGGTTCTCCAGCTTGACAGCAGATGGTGGGACTTCTCAGCCTCATAATTATATGAGCCAATTCTCGTAAGAAATCCCACTTATGTGTCTGTATGTGTCTTCTTGGTTCTGTCTCTCTGAGAACCCTGACTGATACGAAGGCAATTGCAGCCATGCAGGCAAGATGTGATGGTGGCTCAGAGCAGGAGGAATGTGGAGAGATGAGAGGAGATGAGATCTTCTGAAGACAAAGCCAGTCTGATCTCCTGGTGGGTTTGAAGTCCGTGAGAACTGAAGAGAAGAGTCTATGATAACCCCAACGACTGAGAACTCTGGAAAGGAAGAACAGGGTCTCAGTTTGGGCACGGTGAGTTTAAAATATCTATTAGACCCCCAAGAGACGGATGGAGGCTGCTGCAGCCAAGCCTGGAGTACTAGAGAAAAGTCTGATCACTACCTTCAGACATTGAAAAGGCGGTCAGGTTGAAGAGAAGTTAGAACCCTTCATCATGGTTCCCCCAGGACATAAAGGGACCAGTGAGGACCAGAAGTCAAAGTGAGAAAGACCGATTCCATCTGAGGACTCCTGAACCATAGCTGTCTGCAAATGGAATGAGTGGCTTCATACAGAACAGGAAGTCTTATGTTTATAGGAAACATCTTCCTGAAATCTTGACTGGGAGTTGGAAAATATGCTGACCCGTTATAAGCGGGTATTCTGTCCTGGCAAACCAAACATCACCATGAACATCCCTCGGGCCAGGCAGCCTTCCCAAGGAGGGGTACCAGCCTCCTGAGGATAAAGGAGTTCAACTCTGTCACTACCCAGGGACCATCATTTTCCCCAGGGCTCAGCCACCAGGACTCAGGCCAAAGGGCAGATAGATCCCAATCTCTAAACCTCTCAACTGGGCTACGGGCTATACCTAGAAAGGGTGGTTGGAAAGCACTCCCCATGCTATGAATTAAGGAATAGCATGGTGATACAAGGATAGAAAATTATCCGAAGAAGAAACATCAGGGATAAGGGTAACTCTGGCTAAACTGGTCTCAGAAAGACCCACCACGCACACTCACACACATCCACATGCACACATACTCACTTTCAGGGCTGGTTAGGAATGCATGAGCAATAGTAACAACACGCCTCCCGTTTGTGCCTGGTAGTACTTATATTTGCACACACTGCCTCACTGCACCCTCACAGGAGGTAGGTCCTATTGTTCTCAAAGGGTCACGGTCTGAGTCACAAGGTAGAGCCAAGAAGTTTACCCCACACACTGGGTATCAGGCTGCCACCGCTATATGTTCTGCCTATAGACTTTTTGTACAAATTTCTAGAAGAATTAACTGATGAGTGTCTATAACACAGTTGTTGTTGTTGTTGTTGTTGACTAGACCCTTTTTTCAAGACCTGATGAGAAAATAGGAAGAAAAAACCCATCACCCTGAATGACAGCATGTCATTGATAAATGCTCCCTGTGCTGTCCTGGGGACCAGCTGATTTAAACAGCTAAAAAATTCTGAGAGGTAGGGAGCTCTAAAGTGTAAGTCTTTGATGGAGTGGCCAGTGCCTGTGTGTGTTCCTCAACCCTCTCAGGGTAGGGCTGGACAGACCCACTGTCAAAAAAACCAGAGCTGGACAGCCATTAAGGCAGTGAAAACAGATTTTATTCGGGACTATTGCAACAGGAGAAAAGAGACCCCAATATAGAACTGGGCTCAATTCTGAATACGGCACTGGCAAGTGGGGATTTATTGCCAAGGAATAGCATGGTGATACATGGATAGAAAATTAACTAAGAGGAAACATCAGGGATAAGGGTAACTCTGGCTAAACTGGCTGACAGGATACTTGCTGAAGACATGCCCGGGTAATCAGACATCACCCAGGAGATGAGGGAAAATGAGGAACCCGATCAGATATCGAGGGTGATCAGGTATTGAGGGTGGGGTTTTCTTGCTAAACTGGCTTAGCAGGGTTCTTGCTAAAATTGGATTTTGCAAGGAAGCGTGTGACTGGGCTTGGGAGAAGCCTGGCTAAAGTTTGGTCAAGCAAAGAATCTGTCATTACTCTCTAATCGCTCTTGCTATCCCAGCTCTGGCTTAGGGGAAGGCATCAGGAGCGAGAGGAGGTGGTGTGCTGAGTCTTTCTGTCAAGATAAAGCTGGAGGGAGGGTGGGCACGAGGGCTTATGCCTGTAATTCTAGTACTTTAGAAGGCCAAGGCAGGAGGATTGCTTGAGCCCAGGAATTGGAGACCAGTCTGGGCAACATAGTGAGACCTTGTCTCTACAAAAAATCAAAAAAATTAGCCAGGCTTGTTGGTACATACTTGTGGTCCCAGCTACTTGGGAGGCTGAGGCAGAAGGATCACCTGAGCCCAGGAGGTCGTGGCTGCAGTGAGCCGTGATTGTGCCACTGCACTTCAACCTGGGTGACATTGTATTCCAAGCATATTAGAAAGCCACTGGCACGGTTTAAGCAACGGAGATCCTCATCTGATTTCTATTTTTATAGGAACACTCTTCGTAGAGAACCACCAGCAGGGCAGTGGGCAGCAGTGTCAGGAAGGCCATGAATCAGGCTAAAGATGCCATGTCCACTGCGGAGAGTCACAGTGCTGATGGAAGGAGTGGAAAGATTTTAAATCTATTTTTTAAAAGAATCACAGCCCTCTGCCTCCTTCCACCTTTAAGAAGTTTACACTGTTGGAAGAACAAACATGCAAACAAACTATTTAATATAGCAAAATAATTACTTTAATAGGCCAGGTGTGGTGGTATGTGCCTGTAACCCCAGCTGCTGTGGAGGCTGAGGCAGGAGGATTACTTGAGGCCAGGGGTTGGGGTTCAGTGAGACTTCATCTCTTAAAAAAAAAGTGTGTGAGCTGGGCTCGGGGGCTCAGCCTGTAATCCCGCGCCTTTGGGAGGCTGAGGTGAGTGGATTACCTGAGCCCGCGGGTTCGAGACCCGCCTGGGCAGCGAGACCTCATCTCTACATAATTAAAAAATCAGCCGGGCGTGTAGCGCATGCCTGTAATTCCCGGCTAC